AGCCCTGAGAGGGGTTGGGAGAGCCTGTGTTGTCGTTTATACTCCATTTAAAGGAGCATAGAACTGACACTGACAGAGTGGACAGAGACAAGGCTAGACACACACAGAGACAGTATACACACACGCACGCAAGCACACACACACACCCACAGATGCACATACTCACATACACACACACACACACACACACACACACACACACACACAAACACAAACATCATCCTACACTACAGCACATACTATATGCCTCTGCATGGCTGCTTTGTCCAGTGAGGTATTATGAGTTTGTTTTCACTCAAAGACTAATCCGCCCTTGACATTTTACACCATGTTAGCCTGAGAGCCCCAGGGACAGCCTGAGAAGAGAACTCTAGTTACTGTACAGTATATCCCTTAAAGACAAGAGCCATACCGCTGTACTGTACAAGCAAACTCCTAGAGAGCTGAGCTCTGCATTTTCTATTCTCTCTTTTTTCTCTCCCCTCCACTTGAAAATATGCTGCACCTTTTTAGGTGTTCAAAACCTTGAATCCCTGATATCTAATATTAATATGAGAATCTTGTATGGCGCAGACATGTCTATTATAGTTAGTCGTGTCCAAAATGGCACCCTATTCCGTATGGATCCTTCTCAAAAGTAGTGCACTATATGGATAATAGGGTACGATTTGGGATGCACATCATACTGTATTGATCTTTAAAACATGTATTCTGGTTATAATGTATTTTCCATTTAATTGGGTTACATGTGGTTGGTTCTACTATTGATCTGTCAATGCATGACACCTTGGTTATTTTAACTGGCATGTTTATATTTCAGAAGCTATTGGCTTTCTACTCATGCAGAAAATTGGGCTATTAACCTCTATGGGATCGGTGTCCCGTATACGGGACGGTTGAGCTATCGTGCGCTAATGTGATTAGCATCACTGTTGTAAGTAACAGCAAACTTTCCAGGACACAGACATGTCTTAAATGGGCAGAAAGCTTAAGTTTTTCGTAATCTAACTGCACTGTCCAATTTACATTAGCTATTACAGTGAAAAAATACCATGCTATTGTTTGAGGAGAGTGCACAACAACAAAAAACGTATCATGGCAACTAGTTTGATACATTCACCTCTGAAGGTAAATAATGTACTTACATTCAGTAATCTTGCTCTGATGTGTCATTCTAAGGGTCCCAGAGATAAAATGTAGCATAGTTTTGTTTGATAAAATCAATTTTCATATTCAAATGTGGGAACTGGGTTCTACAGTTTGAACCCCTACTGTCTCTGGCTCCACACCCACCCCGCCCGGCCATCTAGATGTGTGAAAGTTAGTGTATGAGCTAATGATCCATCATGTATGACATTCCTGGGAATGTGTAAACTTACATTTTGTATTACCATATCATTTTTGTATGTTCTCTAAAGTTATGTACTTGAACATGTATCAATTGACCAATTCAGCACGTTAGGGCAGACTTGATACAAAATAGTCCAGTATTGCAATCCTTCACTGGATCAATCAGAAACTTTGCACACACACTGCTACCATCTAGTGGCCAAAATCTAAATTGTGCCTAAACTGCAATATTATATTGTGGCCTTTCTCTTGCATTTCATAGATGATAAAAAAAAAAAGATTTAAATAAATAAATAAACATGTTTTTTTGTTTGTATTATCTTTTACCAAATCTAATGTGTTATATTCTCCTACATTAATTTCACATTTCCACAAACTTCAAAGTATTTCCTTTAAAATGGTATCAAGAATATGCATATCCTTGCTTCAGGTCCTGAGCTACAGGCAGTTAGATTTGGGAATGTTATTTTAGGCGAAAATTGGAAATAAGAGTCAGATCCTTAAGAGGTTAAATAGACTCAAAGTTCTTTCTGGCACACAAGTCTTAAGAGAAGCATTGTGGTAACTGGCTTTTAAATGGGTTTCCTCAGGGACCTGGATGAAGTGGGATGAGGTAACCTAGCTACATTGATGAAATTGATCATGACATCAGCTACCATATTGATGATATAGCCTAAGGTGTTCGAGAATAAATCTTAACTTCATGGCTTCATTTCCAAATTTGTTGAATAGTCTACGACTCAATAGGGTCTAAAACGTTAAATGATTTCACAGCCTTCAGTGTCAGACTCAGACAGCATGAAGTGAATTGGCGTTACACCGTGACATATGCACGAGATGCATGCAAGACCCACAGCCTTCACTATCTCGTTCCCCATTGCATTTCTAATAATAGCTAAGCCCCCGTAGCCTATTGCATGCTCTGCTCCGTTAGTCCAATGCAGGTCAGTGGGGTTCATTTGATTGGATCGCATCTGTTTAATTCAATTCCAGAATGTCTACTGTATAATTTATCATCTTTGGTTCTGCCTCAGTAATCTTTCTTTTGACTCTAAATGCAGACAGGCAGTGGCCCCTGCGGGCAATCATACAGAGAGCAGATATTATGTGGAATTGTGCAGATCTTAAATACTGTGAAATTACTGTGTAGTCTATTCTGAAAGAAACAGAATGTCACATTATGCAACATCTGTTCTGTACAAGTTATCAAATTGTGAAGTCTATTTTTCGGTTATTTGCTGTAAGAATGTCAATGTGTGTGTGGTCACCCAGCTAACATAGAGATCACAGGCTACAGTAGCAGAAATAACCTCTGCGCATGGAGAAACTGTGCTCTCTGGTTTTAATGAAATCGGCTCCATGTGATATTTGAGTGTGCAAACCACATCCAGCTATTTCGTTTGATTCAGTGCATTTTGGGAGGATATTGGTAAAATAAAACGCCACTTCAAGTTCTCTGAAGAGTTCTCCATTCGCCTTTTCAACGCAAGATGGGAAAACTCTCGAATCTCCGCGTGCTCAGTGCGATCCTCGACTGAACAGCGACAGTCTTGAAGACACCGCTGTCTGCCGCTGTTCTGCTCTGCTGCTGTCCGTGGTCCTGAAGTAGAGTGCGTCGTCTTGCTCACAAGGGTCATGAAAAACGCCGCTGTTCTGCATGCTCCTCTTCACAACATTGGCCGTATAGGCGGAGGACTTGAATCCGTACTTTTCCGCCTCAGCTTATTCAACTAACGACCATCAAGCTATGATTGTTACTATGTTCTCTACTTCTTCCCAGTGAGTGCGCACGGAAAAGTGTGGAAGATAAAACGTCTATTTAGGCTAACATTTAACTTTCCATCGCGAAAAGGAGATGTTAGGTGTAAATGTCGTTTATTTTAGTTATTTTGTTCTCCTCTTAAAGTTGTATCTTCCGGATCTCTGGTCTATTATCATTCCCATTGCCATGCACGGGCTGCTGGATGTATGCAACAAGACCGAATGGTGTTTTTGATCTGCAGCATTTGGAAGTTGATTGAAATGACTCTCACTGCCGTGGACGACTAGGATCAGCCTATTGACAACAATAGTGGGAAATATAATTTCGTAAATCTTTTTTTCGAGTCTTATTTTTCACACATGAACTGCCTATTGTGGTGTTGTTATCTTAATCTCAGGGAAATAAGGTATAATCATGTATCAGACCGATTTGTGTGTGCATATCACATCGCTCGCGCTGCTCCAAAGGCATCGGTACCGAGAATGGTCTAGTATCTAACTGCTTTTACGCACAACAATAGCAACTGAAGGGGGATTATCTTTTTATCTGGAGGCTGGTGGTTTTATCGAATTGTTCATCTGGAAGTTGTTGTGTCCTGTGTTTTAATCCGTTCTACCGGGTTTGGATCTCTGTTGATCCGGACTCCTACTAGTGGAACCAGGCATTTCAACGCGGTGAGTCCGTAATGCCCAGTTTATCCACCTTCCTATTCACTGTAAAATCCATTATAAGACCTCATCTCCTTTTTCCATTGTCAACACATCTTATTTCTCTTGGAGCTTTCTCTTACTTGAAATACTGACATTGTGCAGTTTATATCATAAATGTAATGATAGGAAATAGGCCTACTTTAGATTGGTATTTGAAGACAACAATATTGTCAATCAATTTTTCTTTCAATTAAGATTCAGTGAGTCTCTCCCTTGGCAGGAAGGAATAGAATGAACCGAGCTCAGTTTAGTCTCGAGGCTAGTACAGGATTCCGTTCTTCTAGCTACCATCGCGAGGGGCGAAGGGTTTGGACTAAAGCCCATTGCGCATTAAGCACTGACTGGGGAAATTTGTAATTTGGTAAAGGCTGTTGAAGTAAAATAAAAGCAACACTAAGCATGTAATATATATTTATTTTATTTTTTTTGGGGGGGGGGGGGGGGGGGGTGATCAAATCTCCACTGACAAGGGTGTTCAAATGATTATCATGGAGCAACCTGTTGGTCATGTAATTCACATTGAAGATCCAAATCTGTTTTTATTTTTATGAAAGCAAAGGACGGGAGACATATAAGGTTAGGTTATATTTTCACTCTGCACTGCACTGGGTTCAAGGTGCAATAGCCTTTAGTCTATAAGAAAACACCCGTATTTGCAATGTAGCCTACGAGCCTATCAACTGTACCAATCCTTTACCTGGTAGGTTTCCACTACCGATTCAATGGCCGACCTCATTTTTGGGAATCCAACATTAGCCTAAGACATTTACTCGACCCATTTCTATTTATTGGTCTAATTTATTCTAATACACATATTGTCTCTCTTAATTTCTTTAATTTTTTGTTTTTCTCTCTCTCTCTCTCTCTCTCTCTCTCTCTCTCTCTCTCTCTCTCTCTCTCTCTCTCTCTCTCTCTCTCTCTCTCTCTCTCAAGCCCCCACACACACAAAGACGACTTAGATTGTAAACCTTCTCTGTGATTGTGTCCCTTGTTGTGGATACGTCTAATTGAAAATATCCCACACCACTTGTATGATATCATCAGGATGTTTATTTGCCACCTGTCCCAAACAGCCTTGTCTCCCTTCATGCTGAACAGGCTGTGAATGGAAAGTAAAAGGCTAAGTAAATGCAACTTCGACCCTCTCCTTGAATGCAATAGGAATACCGCGGCGAAGGATGGGCCCTCTCTTTCCAATGACCTGCGTTGTCCTCCTCGCCCTCCACGCCACCGTGTCACCAGCCTCCCTCAATCCCGAGGATTACGCCGCGGACGAGGCCGAGCGAACTGCCAACAGCGACACCATCATTTTCGACGACTACCGGGGGAAAGTTTGCGTGGACGACAGTGGCTTCGTTTACAAATTGGGGGAGCGTTTCTTCCCGGGACACTCGAACTGCCCGTGCGTGTGCACCGAGGACGGGCCGGTGTGCGACCAGCCGGAGTGCCCCAAGATACACCCGAAGTGCACAAAAGTGGAGCACAATGGATGCTGTCCGGAATGCAAGGAGGTTAAAAACTTTTGTGAATACCGGGGGAAAACTTACAAGATCCTGGAGGAATTTAAGGTAGGGATGTTTTGTGTTTTTTGTCTTAATTTGCATTGTCTATTGATCAATCGTTTGTAATCATTTAAAATGTTAATTTCTCATTTGGATGCACACCATAATCAGGCATATAATTCGTTTTGCTTAATTAGGTAATGAGCTGAGCGAGAACAATTGAATGTGATCAAAACAATGCAGCAGTGTTGACTGCATAATTGTTGCAACCCCAACAACCATTCCACTCAAAAAATGATTGTAATGTTTGCCCTCTCATAACATAGTAAGTGTAAAGATTTGCATGGCCATGCCAGATGGAGAGGGACAACTATAACTGGTATTTTGTTTCCCCTCAATGGTCTCTGCTGGTAGGATAATCCATTTAATCTATTCTGTGTGTAGAGTCACAGTGCAACACGAACTCATTAACTCACTGCGTTATTTGACATCTGTCCTATTTAAAGGAAATGACTGATTAGTTATGAAACTATGTGCTGCATAATAACTACAGGCGCCTCACACTGTATCAATGGGCTTGGAGATTCCCCAAGCAAGCAAATTCATCAATGGCAAACTGGAGATGTTTTGAGCCATGGTTTGAGTATTATTGTGTCATGCTTGAAGTAGGCTTGTCTACCATACTGAATGAAACCCATACCCAGGCCTGCCTTCAAGCCTCAACTGGGCTGATCTATTTATAGTATATGATTATTAATCATGGCAATTAGTTGTGTTGGAGTCGGACATTACATGGTGGAAGAGGCTGTAGCACATTGTCAGCGTAGGAGGGGTATGCGTCAGTCGGGTGAGAGCAGGAGAAGAGGGCAGAGTCATTTAGTGTTGGCGTGGACAGTCCTAGTCTATACTGACAAATGATTAACACCATTAGTGTTGCTTATTACTGGCTTATAAAAATAGCCTATACTATAGTGCTGCTCTTTATATTTTGCTGTGAGTGAGTCAGTTGACCGACAGATTAAAAAAATAGAGTAGGGGCCAGGAATAAGTCAATTTTCACTTGCATTTTTCAGACCCATATACTGTTGCCTATACCCAGCAGTGTTTACTAGAACTATGCTGGATAATGCAGCATTCATTCTAAATATGAGAAGGAATTGTGCCAACTTTCCCCTCAGAAGATGCATTTTTTTGACCTGTCACAGTGACAGGAGGAAACACCTGGTGAATACACAATGAGCTGAATACTGTAACAGCAGCACTGACATGACAAACATAAACAAAACCAGAGATATGCCCTGAATAGTAATGGGTAGTTGTTAGTTGTTGTACACTACAATGTAAATCCGAATCAATCCTGTTCAGTGATGTGAAATAGGAGATGTTCTAGTAAATAGCTAGATGATCAGGGTATTCCCATGACACCTCCCTAATCCTCTTTATACCAAATAAACATGATGAGATGACTCGACTGAATGTCAGTAAGAGATAACATTGTTTCAGTCCACATGTCACTAAAACATATACAACACTAATTACAGGACTCATAATTTTTTTACTGCAGATTATAAAGAAATGTAATGAAATTAAACAATTTAAGGACATTTTATAGAAGAGAGCAAAGAAATCTTTTGTTTGACTTACTTTAACTGAAAATGTGTTGTAATATTAAGACCAACCTAAAGTACTTCTGCTCAAACCCTGTAACACAATTGCACATGATTGAGCTCTACGGGTGATGGAACTTGATTGTACAGTTTGGGTAGTTTCCATTATGATTTAGCATTTTAGTGCATGAGGTGACCAATGACATTGACTTCATTTACGCTTTTGTGAAACTATACTGTGTCCCCAATCATCCACTTGTGTGATGGTTAGCATAATATAAAATTATGCTAATGTTCCATTTCCATTCCCCAGAAAAGCATGGTCCCTAAAGTATTCCTGTGAAGTTTGGTATACAAGTGTGTCTAGGTTGGTGGTAAATGCAACACAGAGACCAAGGGTATTCAACTCTTACACAACAAGTTCCTGGGCCTGCTAGTTTTCTGTTCTACTTAAACTTAATTGCACCCACCTGGTTTCCCAGGTCTAAATCAGGGAACAATGAAAAAAAGCAGTAGAACTGGCTTCGAGGTCCAGAGTTGAGTTTGAGGGGCATAGACCATAGTCCATAGTTGTCTGTTTCTGTTACGTTATTCTTTGTAATTTTGTTTCCAAGAAATCAAATCTCTCAAAAAGGCCAGGTAGTTCATTTGATTATCCTAATATCCATGTTCCTCCTTAGTCCTTGATCATATTCTTCAACTCAATTCAATTAAATCAAACTGTGATTGCTCATCCCAAGCGATACACCTGCCACTAATTCTAGACAGCTCCATATCACTTACAATGCTCTTACATCTCCAACAAGAGGCCTGGCATTAGCTAATTAGTATGGGCGACTTCAGTGAAGCAGTGTATTTCTAATAAGGTTGTGAGAGATCAGCCCTTTACACCTGTGTACTTAATCCATTGTGGTCGGTGACTGGGTGTGTGTCCCAAATGGCACCCTATTCCCTTTCTAGTGCACTAGTTTGATCAGGGCCCATGGGTGGATCGGTGTTGAGCGAACGAGCGGCACGTCAACGAAGCCTCTTAGCCCTGTATTGGGATGCACAGCCATGCACCCCTCAGGGAGAGAGAGAGAGAGGCCTGTGAGCGTGTCTAAAGCCTGCTGGTTTGATGTGAGATCAAGTCCATCAATAGTGCATCTCAACCTCCAATCCCCACTAACCTTGAGTGGCGGGGCCCGGCGAGAGGGAAGGACATTTTCCGCCTCTTGAAAAACCATTCATTTGTTCCTATTGATTTTCTCAACAGAGAAATTACACGTGGAGCCAGAACAGAGAGTGGAAACTGTGACTGGAACAATAAAAATGGCCACTCTTCAGTTAGTTTAGATAAATAATTGATATAGGCAAGGATGGCCATTGACCACAACTTCAAAGCTTCGATCAGATCACTGTTGTGGGATTGTTGATGCGTGACAGGAATCTGATGATTTGAGGAAGCTAAAGTCATAAAACCATGGTTGTGTCCAGCATGAAAATGCCTATTTATGACAGCATGAAAGACATATGAAAGTATTATATCTCTTTGAATTACTGTATAAAACAAGCACTGCATGGTGTCCAGCGGAGTTAACAGAAATCAAAGGGTGTCAGTAGCTTCTAAAGAAAGCCCCAATTAAGAGGATACCGACAGTGCTGGTTGGCATTTCCTTTGCCCCCATCCTGGCGCTTTATGCAGAGCTCCTTGTTTACTGAACACAGCAGGCGGGGAAGGAGTCCAACAGAGATCAGCATCTTTAAGACCCACAAGGCAGGTTAGATCTTTATAAGGTTGGAGATCTCTCTGATATCTCTTCTAAACAAGCAGGCACGCAGCCATAGGGAGCATGATAGAAACACTGGGGCTTTGGAACATGAGCAGTACGTCTAACACCCAAAAGGCAGGTTTTAATCTCATAGACTAGACTATATCACTACCTTGTCCAACATCTTATGTGTCTCATATATACTAATTCACTGATGGAATAGGGAATGTCAATAATTTGTGCATTACCCATAGCAAGTGTCTCAGAGTTACATTCTATAGATGCCATGTCAGTAATAAAACCCATTGATAAGGAATGACTCTCTAACCATTGATTGATCATGGATGGTGCCCTGTAGTCTGTTAAGAAATATGCTCCTGCCTTAAAGACCTAATTCGTCAGAAAGTGAATCTTTCCATCCGCAGAATGCTGAGTCAGTCTCTGTTGGGCAGTGGTCCATTATTTATGTAGATGTAATGTAGTTGGAGTGAAGCTACTTTATTAAGTCTGGTGGACAGTTGGGTGACGGGGGCTCTGCTGTGCTGTATACTATAGCCCACTCTCAGTAGAGTTGTGCCACTCACCGTCGATGCTAAATATACTTTCATTTTAGATGTATGTTTTGTAGTATATAAGATAGATATAAGATAGAGAGAGAGAGAGAGTATAAGTATATCAAAAAGAGAGTACATAAGAGTATATGAGAGAGTTGTGCCACTCACCCTCGGTAGGTGTTTCACCTACAGGGTTCCCCATCCGACGAGGAAGGGACCAGTCCGCCCGTCGTGGCTCCCGCCGTCGCGCCTGTACTACCCCCGGCCCTTCCCCCAGCCTCAGCCCCAGACTCTGCAGCACAGCTCCAATCAAGAACCAGGAGATATAGGGTGAGTTCAGATCCCAGGCCATAGAGATAAAACAACTGTTCTATATCTATGTCCCAGGCTGGCAGGACGTGACAGAACAGGACAGAACAGAACAGAACAGGACAGAACAGGCTATAGGGCTGGGATGTGAACTCCGATCAATCCCCATCCCATCCATGCTCCTGACTGAGATCCTTAGGGGAGAGGGTTACAGAGAGGGGGCGTGAAGGACCTCAAGGACTTTTGTTGTTGAGTCCCCATCGATTCAAAAACAGACACAAAAAGTAACCATAATCCTACAAGCCACACTGATTTGTTTTGTTGGTGCATAATGTTGAGGCTCTTGAATATAGTTTCTGACTTCTAATCCAAATACACCGATTTACTAAAGATACATTTTGACAAAATGGCATGATTAAGGCTAAATGATGAAGGTTCTGTAGAGATTCTGTAGCTCTCTGCTCCTAGGCATTACTACACATATTGTTATGAAAGAGATGTATTAGACAGAGTCTAATGACATGGGAACCCAAGAGAGACAGATTAGACACAGTCTACTATAATAATAATAATAATATGCCATTTAGCAGACGCTTTTATCCAAAGCGACTTACAGTCATGCGTGCATACATTTTTTGTGTATGGGTGGTCCCGGGGATCGAACCCACTACCTTGGCGTTCCAAGCGCCGTGCTCTACCAGCTGAGCTACAGAGGACCACTGACATGGGAACCCAAGAGAGACAGATTAGACACAGTCTAATGACATGGGAACCCAAACGAGATAGATTAGACACAGTCTAATGACATGGGAACCCAAGAGAGACAGATTAGACACAGTCTAATGACATGGGAACCCAAGAGAGTCAGATTAGACACAGTCTAATGACATGGGAACCCAAGAGAGACAGATTAGACACAGTCTAATGACATGGGAACCCAAGAGAGACAGATTAGACACAGTCTAATGACATGGGAACCTAAGAGAGACAGATTAGAGACAGTCTACTGATATGGGAACCCAAGAGAGACAGATTAGAGACAGTCTACTGATATGGGAACCCAAGAGAGACAGATTAGACACAGTCTATTGACATGGGAACCCAAACGAGACAGCTTTGAATCTACTGAATAAGAAAGCAGACTCACAACAGAAGTGACATCAGCAGAAGTTCCACCAAAAAATGCTGTGATTTACTAAAGTTACATTTTGACAAAATGTCACGTTTAAGGTTCTATTCTGAAGGTTGAATATCTTTCAGCTCTCTCTCAACTGCCCACATTTGTATAAGGGCATTGCAACAGCTTTTTAAACACTGATCAGACTCAGAAGTGACTGACTGCAGTAGAAGTTCCACAACAAAATACAGTGCCTTTCACAATCACAAATATTACAGGAAAACCAGACCATACGTCAGCGTCCGAAAATTGCTTGTTTTACAAAGTAATTAACTAATATATCACCTTTTGCACATAAAAAAAAAAGATAGAATGGGTGAAAGAACATGCACACGCACATATACACCCACACACACACACACACATGCATGCATGCAGGCACACACACACAAACCCCCTCCACCACCCACACAGTGCACATCCTAATTAGTGACTGTGCTCTTCAGCACTGACACCTATTGCTATAAAACGCATCTAAAATGAGTTGCACAAATAGATTTTCCTATCCAATTTGCCTGAGGAAAAAACATTGTTTTAATTTGAAATGCTGATTAAGCCACAAACGAGACACAAACGTAGGCCAGAGAGAACTGGAGCTTTGAACTAGTTTGAGCAACTTCCCTTCATAACTAACTTTATATTAGTTATTGACTAAGGTAAATAAAAGCTAAACAAAAAAGGTTGCCTTGTGTGTCTGTATCTGACTTTGGATACTTCCATCCCTTCATCTACCATCTCCACTTCACCTCTCCTCTCTCATCCCTTCATCTCCCATCTCCACTTCACCTCTCTCATCCCTTCATCTACCATCTCCACTTCACCTCTCCTCTCTCATCCCTTCATCTCCCATCTCCACTTCACCTCTCTCATCCCTTCATCTACCATCTCCACTTCACCTCTCCTCTCTCATCCCTTCATCTCCCATCTCCACTTCACCTCTCTCATCCCTTCATCTCCCATCTCCACTTCACCTCTCCTCTCTCATCCCTTCATCTCCCATCTCCACCACCTCTCTCATCCCTTCATCTACCATCTCCACTTCAGCTCTCCTCTCTCATCCCATCATCTCACATCTCCACTTCACCTCTCTCATCCCTTCATCTACCATCTCCACTTCACCTCTCCTCTCTCATCCCTTCATCTCCCATCTCCACTCCACCTCTCCTCTCTGCACTCCATCACCCTGCTAAGATAAGATGTTTTGACGTGGGCGTCACTAGCATGTATGTTGGCTATCCATAACTCTCATCACTCTTGCCAGCACCCTGCAACTGCATGACTTTCCCCACCCCTCTCCTTCACTCCAAACTACATCCTTATCTACACCCCAGAGAGTTTGACTATTGTCTGCATCTTCCTCATCTCCCTCATCCCAACAGTCTCAGAGTTCCACTACTACAGTCTCTATTGCAGTGTTGATGGTCAGTTCACTTTAATATGAACGTGGATGGGATCACAAATCACCACATAGTTTGATTCAGAAACATACTAACACACCCCTCGGCACGGCTAAATATAGTCTTGGTGTTCTACTTTATTTTGTGAGTTACTGTAGTACTTACAGACCGGGGCATGAATCCACTTCACAGTACAATAAATCTCACACAAGGTTGCATTGAAAGCACTCTAGCCCTGTTACAGTAAATACATTGATGGACGCGTGCACTGGCCTGCAATGTATTATTGAGATAAAGAAGTACAGTATGGAAAGGGTAAATATACAGTCATTTCAGATGTATCAAATGTTTAACAATGCAACCAGTCAAGAAATGGTATTTAATGTGTTTGTCGTGTCATGATTACAGAGATATATGAAGTTATTCAGGTTGATTCCATTGAATAAATTAATCTTAAAGTCTTCGTAAGAGAAACCCTGACAGCACATGAACAAATACAGTAGGGAAGAAACACAACTTGGAAAAATAAAATAAATAATAGCTTCAGTTGAATTCAACCATCCATATCTAATGTGTCCCTGGAGGAGTAGTGTGCAATTTCTCATCTTCTATCTATGCCATAAATCATTTTTTAAAATGTTGATTAAATGATGCTGAATAGAGTTCAGTGAATGCTTGTTGTCAGTGTTTGAACTTTTAGCATGTTTCGGAGTCATCACCTCCCCCATAGATTTGGCACCATATCAAGCAAATTCACCAAAAGGACAGTCAGCTAAATAAATCCACCCATTTACATACAGAACACTTAAGGCATTTTACTGTACATCTAGTGCTGAGAAAGGGAAAAAGTTATAGGTATGTGAAAAGATAAATTGCATGAAAATTTTTCTTATTCAAATGTCAATCACAGGTATCACAAGTTGAAGAGGCTGGTAGTGTTTGAAAAATGGAAGAAACCTGTGAATATGGCAGGTTTCATGAAAGTCTGTATCATGAAATGGCGTTTTACTAGTTACATGCAGAGGATGCTTGAGTTGTCTGACAGCTCACGTCTTCTAAAGGTTCTGTAAGATCATTATTTCAATGCTACAGTTGTATAGAGATTTCATAGCCCTTTAAATGTCTCTTATGTGTTGGAAATGTTGCAGTCAGATTGGTGATTGAGAATGGTTTATGTATGCTGACCAGCACTTAGCCAATAAAGTACTGCAAGCAGACATCCGTTCAATCCCAGGGATGTAACTGAGATTGTTGTTGTTTGTTTAATTCTCTATGGATTGTTTATTTGGTTTTGTTTGGTTAAATCAGGGGACCCCAGACTAGTGCACTGAAAAAACAAGATTTAATCTCACCAGATTACATTTTGTTCAATAACTACGTATTTAGCTATGTTTCATCATCAGTGATATCAGTTATATAACGATTTCAAAGACCTTTAAATATATTTTATCTGTTGGAAATGTTACAAACAGACCAACAGTCTGCAGATAAAAAGTGCTTTATGTGTGCTGACCAGCACCCAGCCAATAAAGTAGTCAGTTCAATCCCAGGGATGCTACTGAGATTCTAGTTATTTGTTCAACTTTGAACAGATTCTCTATGAATTGTGTCTTTGATTTATATTAAAGTAAACTGGTTTGCCTAACAGGTGAACCAATAGGCCAGCGCACTCCAAATCAAGATTTAATCTCACCAAAGATTTGGTTCTATAGGAATATGGGTAGCAATTTACACAGGATAAAGTGGTAATTACATGGAGATAGTATGGTATTACCAATAGTGAGGTCCGTCTCAGTAAAAGTCATACAGTTTAAGTTGACAATTAAAAACTGCCATTTCACCCTCAGACACAAACTTGTTTGTTTGCTCTTGTTTAACATTGAGTTCAGCACAATTAGGGAGCATGTCCATGGATAAGTTCACAAGTCCTAGGCTCTGAGGCCAAACAGTGTAATTCATTCAATTTGAAGGAATAGACAGTCTCAGTTTGGCAATTACACAATGTACAAAGTTTAAACACCCTGGCTACTGAGAGGGCTCAGGGCTCACCTCTCTCTCTCATCACTACCCTATTGACCCTGACTCACACTCACACACACAAATACTTGTAACAAATACGTGTATTTGTGAGAGGTATTGACATGTTAAATGCACCGAGCTGTCTGTTTGAATTACTGGCACACAGCTCGGACACCCATGCATACCCCACAAGACATGCCACCAGAGGTCTCTTCACATCCCCAAGTCAAGAACAGACTATGGGAGGCGCACAGTACTACACAGAGCCATGACTACATGGAAATCTATTCCACATCAAGTAACTCATGCCAGCAGTAAAATTAGATTTAAAGAACAGATAAAAAAACACCTTATGGAACAGCGGGGACTGTGAAGCAACACAACCATAGACACATGCATACAAACACACGATAACATACGCACTATACACACATGTACACATGGATTTTGTGTTATAGATATGTGGTAGTAGAGTAGAGGCCTGAGGGCACACACTTAATATGTTGTGAAATCTGTTATAAAATCTATAACTGCCTTAATTTTGTCTTGGCAGCAGCTAATGGGGATCCATAATAAATACAAATACAAATACACACACACACACCAGCCAGCCAGCGAGGCACATCTCTCTATCTGCATCTCAAATGGCTCCCTACTCCCTTTATAGTGCACTAGTTTTGACCAGAGCCCATAGACCTCTGGTCAGAAGTAGTACACTATATAGGGAATAGGGAGCCATTTGAGACGTAGCCAGAGAGATGTTGACTCATACGGAAATGTGTTTAATTGGCACACTTTGGGTGTTGGGCCAGAGAAAAGGCCATCGGGGCTGCAAGGACTTTAAATATTGCTAAAAGGAAACCACTTGCTGTGTGTGAATGTGCAAATGAAAGATAGTTTTGTCATTGTGAATTGCTTTCACTGTAGCTTACAACATTACGGCATTCATTCTACACAACAAAAGGCCTGTAGTACAAACTATGATTAAAATGTGGTCAGTGGGTAAACAAACTGTTTCTGCTTATGCAGACATGGCTTGACAACGACTGTTGGAGTTCATTCTGTTTCAAGTGGGTTAAGTTCTCTCAGTCCAATGGAGATACAATATCTATTTTCCAGTAGGAGACCTGGCCAGGACATTAGGTAGCAGTTGAATCTCAATAGGTAGAGAGGGGCAATTGGAAACATACCCAGGTTTATGTGGCTTGATTGATATGTTCCAATTCAATCACTCTGTTTTTAGAATGCCCCCCAAGGTTGAGTAGACTAAGCATTGTTTTCAAGTGGAGTTTAAGTGGATTTACAAATTAGTTGTAATGAGTAACCCTACAGACATCTCACTGTGACCATGGGTTGATCTTTTTAATGTTCAGTCGAATAAACCTTGTAGGTTTTCAAGGCTTTTTATTGTCAGGGAAACCAACTTGATATTAACAATGGTAAGATGATTGGTTTTCAAATGCAATTCAAATATCTCTTTCCTCTTTTCTCTCCATTTTCTCCCCCCCCCCCCCCCCCTCTCCCTCCAGCCCTCGCCTTGTGAGTGGTGTCGCTGTGAACCAAATAACGAGGTGCACTGTGTGGTCTCTGACTGTGCCGTCCCAGAGTGTGTCAACCCAGTCTACGAGCCAGAACAGTGCTGTCCCATCTGTAAAAACGGTAAGGGCTCTTCCAGTTGTGTCTTTCGGACACACAAACACACCAGTTTTACTCACAAACTTTTTGTACATCAACCTTACAATTGCATTGCTGGTTGTTGTGTACAGTTGAAGTCGGATGTTTACAAACACTTAGGTTGGAATCATGAAAACTTGTTTTTCAACCACTCCACAAATTTCTTGTTAACAAACTATAGTTTTGGCAAGTCGGTTAGGACTTATCTACTTTGTGCATGACACAAGTAATTTTCCCAACAATTGTTTACAGACATATTATTTCACTTATAATTCCCTGTATCACAATTCCAGTGGGTCAGAAGTTTACATACACTAAGTTCACTGTGCCTTTAAACAGCTTGGAAAATTCCAGTCATGACTTTAGAAGCTTCTGATAGGCTAATTGACATCATTTGAATCAAATGGAGGTGTACCTGTGGATGTATTTCAAGGCCTACCTTCAAACTCAGTGCCTCTTTGCTTGACATCATGGGAAAATCTAAAACAATCAGCCAAGACCTCAGAAAAAAGATTGTAGACCTCCACAAGTCTGGTTCAACCTTGGGAGCAATTTCCAAACGCCTGAAGGTATCACATTCATCTGTACAAACAATAGTACGCAAGTATAAACACCATGGGACCACGCAGCCGTCATACCACTCAGGAAGGAGACATGTTCTGTCTCCTAGAGATGAACGTACTTTGGTGCGAAAAGTGCAAATCAATCCCAGAACAACAGACCTTGTGAAGATACTGGAGGAAACAGGTACAAAAGTATCTATATCCACAGTAAAACATGTCCTATATCGACATAACTGCCACTGCTCCAAAACCGCCATTAAAAAGCCAGACTACGGTTTGCAACTGCACATGTGGACAAAGATCGTACTTTTTGGAGAAATGTCCTCTGGTCTGATGAAACAAAAATATAACTTTTTGGCCATAATGACCATCGTTATGTTTGGAGGAAAAAGGGGGTTGCTTGCAAGCCGAAGAACACCATCCCAACCGTGAAGCACGGGGGTGGCAACATCATGCTGTGGGGGTGCTTTGCTGCAGGAGGGACTGGTGCACTTCACAAAATAGATGGCATCATGAGGAAGGAAAATTATGTGGATATATTGAAGCAACATCTCAAGACATCAGTCAGGAAGTTAAAGCTTGGCCGCAAATGGGTCTTCCAAATGGACAATGACCCCAAGCATACTTCCAAAGTAGTGGCAAAATGGCTTAAGGACAACAAAGTCAAGGTATTGGAGTGACCATCACAAATCCCTGACCTCAATACTATAGAAAATGTGTTGGCAGAACTGAAAAAGCATGTGCAAGGAAGGAGGCCTACAAACCTGACTCCATTACACCCAGCTCTGTCAGGAGGAATGGGCCAAAATTCACCCAACTTATTGTGGGAAGCTTGTGGAAGACTACTCGAAACATTTGACTCAAGTTAAACAATTTAAAGGCAATGCTACCAAATACTAAATTAGTATATGTAAACTTCTGACCCACTGGGAATGTGATGAAAGAAATAAAAGCTGAAATAAATCATTCTCTCTGCTATTATTCTGACATTTCACATTCTTAAAATAAAGTGGTGATCCTAACTGACCTAAGGCAGGGAATCTTTACTAGGATTAAATGTCAGGAATTGTGAAAAGCTGAGTTTAAATGTATTTGGCTAAGGTGTATGTAAACTTCCGTCTTCAACTGTATATGTAGGCTGGTAAATCAGACTGACGCTGTGCTCACCATTGTTTCAGAATGATGAACGAGGCTAGTGGAGTTGTATATTTCTTGCTGATCTTGTAGTTTTTTTTTTGTGAGTGTAACATTTCCATTTTATTCATTACACATTCATTACACAAATAAACGTGAAACCTGTAACTGTTTCAAACTCAACCAAAATACACACACACACACACACAACGAATAATTACACTTTGATGACATCGAAACCAACCAAAAGATTATCTCTTTCTCTATGTCTATCTTTTGATGATCAGTCTTCAGTCTCTTTCAGTGTTTTATGTTTTATATCAAAATCATTACCTTGGGGGGCTGCCCGACTGCTAATGAGGACAATACTAACTGCTTTAATTAAATACAACACACTAAGCAGAAAAAACACTGGCTCAGATAGGCCCATTGATTACAGGGCATCCAGAGAGAGCATAACAGTGTGTGTGTGTGTGTGTGTGTGTGTGTGTGTGTGTGTGTGTGTGTGTGTGTGTGTGTGTGGTGTGTGCGCGTGTGTGCGCATGTGTGTGTGTGTGTGTGTGTGTGTGTGGGATGCTCGTAATGGGCCCCTGGAGGGCCCTTTATCTCCCTGTTGCCCTGATGCCCTTGTCAGCCGCAACCAATCCCCAAATTATAATTATAGAATTCCGATGGCTCATTGGCTAGTTATAGGAGTCAGGGCAGGAGATATGGCTGAGCCAGCCCAATCCAAGGGGACAGATGTTTTACCTCTGCATGATCGAGAGAGAGAGAGGGTGAGAGAGAGAGAGAGGTGTGGTCTGGTTGTGGCTCATTTGGTTTCATTAGCCTCAAGGGCTGGATTGATCAATAGACAACTGGGACAATCAAGGATCATGAATGTTATATGCTGGAATGTCATAATTATTTAATTACCATCTGATTATGTATATTTTGTTACCTAAACCAAATATCCACTGTGATGGTATAGTCTTGCTGGTCGGAATTCATGATGATGATTTTGCCGTAGTATAGGCTAACTCTATCAAAGGAAAATGCAATCGAGGGTCTGAACTGATGGTTGATCAAACTAGCTCCAAGTAAACAATGACCAAAAAACACAGAAAAGGCTTTTCAAATGCAAGAGACAGGAAAGGCCTTTTCAGTGCATTCTCAATCAGAAGGAATTCCACACAAGAGTATCCACTCAGGATATTGCTCATAGCAGAATATATATATAGATAGATAGATAGATAGATAGATAGATAGATAGATAGATAGATAGATAGATAGATAGATAGATAGATAGATAGATAGATAGATAGATAGATAGATAGATAGATAGATAGATAGATAGATAGATAGATAGATAGATAGATAGATAGATAGATAGAATAAATACAATAAATATATTTCCCAATTTAGACTTCAGAGGAAATCAAAATATTATCTTCCTTAAAATGACTGCGTATTTTCCTTTGTGGCGTAGTTTGACCTATATAGGCTAAGCTCTCTGACAGAGGGTAACGAAGCTGTAAGGTGTACAAGGAAGATGCTAGTACACACACATACACACACACACACACAAGCGTGCGCGCAACACACAAACATACGATACACACACACACACTCACAGATACCCAAGCACACACATACCCACACACTGGGCCTGCAGCTGGAGGAAGCACTAATCCACACAGACAGGATACGGTGACGCCCTTGTGGCGGTGGCATTTAAAGGAGCCTGCCTGCCATCTCCAGCCCCCTAAGAAACCACGCTCAGCTCTGGCAAGATTATTCTCTTGAGCCTGGAGTGTGTGTGTGTGTGTGTGTGTGTGTGTGTGTGTGTGTGTGCAGGAGGAGTATTTACTGTAATGCTCATTCCTGGTGTACTGTGGGAGGATAGATCCACTCTTGTACCCTATTCCAATTGGACGTCTTTAGGAGTTTGCAGGGGACAGAGAGACATGCCTTTTCAATTCGCCTGCTCTTGAGATGATGGCCAGCTTCAAGCCTACAAAGCCTCCCTCAGATTGGACAGATAGTATGCATACCAAATGTCACCCTATTTACTATATTTACCTATACATTTTAGCCATTTAGGACACGTCCTTATCCAGAGCAACTTACAGTTAGGATACGCAAGTCTCTGAAGCACACGCGGATGTGATCTCACTCACACACACACACACACACACACACACTTTCTGATCCCACTGTTTTGCATGCTCACAGAGCTATGCCAAGCTCTGGAAACACATTTCCATATGACCCCTCAGATAACGCGACCAGACGTCCCCGATTTCCAGGGACAGTCCCCGATTTTGGTGGCCTGTCCCTGGCTAGATCTGTCCCCGGAAATGTCCCCGATTAGCCCTCAGAAAGAAAAAAGCAACTCTGAAGTTAAATTGTCGGTGATATTTCAATAATCAAACGCTGTATCCAATCACATTTGCATGTAAAAATTATGTCTAGCCCTGTACCCAACTCGTTTGCTCCCAGCTTTCGCCGCAGACCTTTTAATGAACGTTTGACCAAGTGATACATTATAACTACCGCATGAACAACCATGCCCATGGCCAGAAAGTGCATCCAACAACATAGGCTAAATCAAATTTGGGTGATTCAAAAATTACTAGATTAAGAAAACTGTGGAGGGGTAATCCATTTCTGTGTTATAATTAATTGAAAGGACTATAGCGAAAATTGATTGTTAAATATAGTTCCATGCCATTGTTATTTTTGCGCAGCAAATTTAACTTATATGAATTTGATTTAGATATGGATTTACATGCTGAATAATGTAAATGTAGCCTACATAAAGTTGTTTTTCAGTTTTACAGTGGAAATACACATGGGAATTTGCTAGTCTTATCAGCTTCTGTCTATTACTGTTCATCTAACCTGTCTGTCACTGTAACTTCCTGGTGGACACTCATGTGACAACATAGAGACAGCTGTGAACAGGTAACATGCATCCCTGTTGACAGCCCTGACAGACAAGCATTGGCTTTGAATGGCGCAACGTCCTAAAGTCCCAGAGCCTTGTCTTGTCCATCTTCTGCAGTGATAGGCAGTGGAGACTGTGTCCTTGCTTGTGGATGCGTCCCAAATGGCACCATATTCTCTTTATAGTGCACTACTTTTGAACAGGGCGCTGGTCAAAAGTAGTGCACTATAAAGGGAATAGGGTGTCATTTGGGAAGCATCCTGTGCCTTCCTCCTGCTGTGACTCTCCAGTTGTAAACAACCACACTTGGCAGGGCTGCTCGATGCCCACTTCTGTCATCAACCTCTGCCTGGTTTGTCTGTAAACCATGCCAGCTATACTAAGGGTGGATGGTGGATCAATGGGAGTTAGGGCTTGGCAACAGTTTGCTTATGATGTGTCCATTGAGGTACAGGTCAATCTATGGGCTTTTATCATGTCTGAGTAGACCAGGAGAGGAGAGTGTTCCTGGGCATAAATGAGGCTGAGGTGGTTAAGGTGTTGGAAGCAGGTGGTGGTAGAAAATGATTGTTGAATTGTTGTAATGTGCGTAATGTTTTTTATGCAGACATCATTACAGGAGAGGAGACTCGTCCTGGGCGTAGATGAGGGTGAGTTAAGGTGGTGGGTAAGGTGTTGGAAGCAGGTAGTAGACTAGAGGGTTTTTGGTGTGTTATATATTGGATCATGCCATTAGGTTTGTTTGGTCCAGCAGATACTGGTTATGATTTAGTTTACAGTAGTCTCACAAGGTGTTGGAAGCAGGTGATAGACTAGAGGGTGTTTGGTGTATTATATATTTAAAGTGATGTGTTCACTCGAGTATTACGTGAAAAAGCCAGAAATTGAGATTTGGTCCATGGGGCATTTTCTAGATGCCTGGCTCTCTGTTAAACCCTTGACTTGAATCAATAGCGTACCCTGAGGAAGAAGAATAAGAGACTATACTACTATCATTAAGGACTGCTTACTGTAGGCCTAAAGCAGGGTTGGGCTCAATTCGAATTGAAGGCGGTCAATTCAAGAAGTGATTTGAGTAAAAGATTCAGAAATTTTTTAACTTTTGAAATAAATAGTTTTAAAAAGTATTTTTCAGTTTATTGAAGAGTCATTGAAAATAAATGTCATTTTTTCCATTATTGAATTTAATTTGAGTTTACTTCCTGAATTGACTGCCTTCAATTTGAATTGAGCCTGGAGACAAGATATTAGAATGCAATAAATATTAGACCTTCGAGAAACACTGAAGTTTTGTGATTGCATATTTAGAATTCTGCTGGTTCATGTCCCCCATGTTTTTTTATTTTTATTTCACCTTTATTTAACCAGGTAAGCCAGTTGAGAACAAGTTCTCATTTACAACTGCGACCTGGCCAAGATAAAGCAAAGCAGTGCGTTAAAAACAACAACATAGAGTTACATATGGGGTAAAAAAACAAAAAGTCAAAAAATACAACAGAAAATATATATATATACAGTGTGTGCAAATGTAGCAAGTTATGGAGGTAAGACAATAAATAGGCTATAGTGCAAAATAATTACAATTAGTATTAACACTGGAATGCTAGATGTGCAAGAGATTATGTGCAAATAGAGATACTGGGGTGCAAAAGAGCAAAATAAATAACAATATAGGGATGAGGTAGTTGGGTGGGCTAATTTCAGATGGGCTGTGAACAGGTGCAGTGATCGGTAAGGTGCTCTGACAACTGATGCTTAAAGTTAGTGAGGGAGATAAGAGTCTCCAGCTTCAGAGATTTTTGCAATTTGTTCCAGTCATTGGCAGCAGAGAACTGGAAGGAATGGCGGCCAAAGGTGTTGGCTTTGGGGATGACCAGTGAGATATACCTGCTGGAGCGCAGACTACGGGTGGGTGCTGCTATGGTGACCAATGAGCTAAGATAAGGCGGGGATTTGCCTAGCAGTGATTTATAGATGGCCTGGAGCCAGTGGGTTTGACGACGAACATGTAGTGAGGACCAGCCAACAAGAGCGTACAGGTCACAGTGGTGGGTAGTGTATGGGGCTTTGGAGACAAAACGGATGGCACTGTGATAGACTACATCCAATTTGCTGAGTAGAGTGTTGGAGGCTATTTTGTAAATGACATCGCCGAAGTCAAGGATCGGTAGGATAGTCAGTTTTACGAGGGCATGTTTGGCAGCATGAGTGAAGGAGGCTTTGTTGGGAAATAGGAAGCCGGTTCTAGATTTAACTTTGGATTGGAGATTCTTAATGTGAGTCTGGAAGGAGAGTTTACAGTCTAACCAGACACCTAGGTATTTGTAGTTGTCCACATACTCTAGGTCAGACCCGTCGAGAGTAGTGATTCTAGTCGGGTGGGCGGGTGCCAGCAGCGTTCGATTGAAGAGCATGCATTTAGTTTTACTAGTGTTTAAGAGCAGTTGGAGGCTACTGAAGGAGTGTTGTATGGCATTGAAGCTCGTTTGGAGGTTTGTTAACACAGTGTCCAATGAAGGGCCAGATGTATACAAAATGGTGTCGTCTGCGTAGAGGTGGATCTGAGAGTCACCAGCAGCAAGAGCGACATCATTGATATACACGGAGAAAAGAGTCGGCCCAAGAATTGAACCCTGTGGCACCCCCATAGAGACTGCCATAGGTCCAGACAACAGGCCCTCTGATTTGACACATTGAACTCTATCTGAGAAGTAGTTGGTGAACCAGGCGAGGCAGTCATTTGAGAAACCAAGGCTATTTAGTCTGCCAATAAGAATGCGGTGGTTGACAGAGTCGAAAGCCTTGGCCAGGTCGATGAAGACGGCTGCACAGTACTGTCTATTATCGATCGCGGTTATAATATCGTTTAGGACCTTGAGCGTGGCTGAAGTGCACCCATGACCAGCTCGGAAACCGGATTGCATAGCGGAGAAGGTACGGTGGGATTCGAAATGGTCGGTGATCTGTTTGTTAACTTGGCTTTCAAATACTTTCGAAAGGCAGGGCAGGATGGATATAGGTCTGTAACAGTTTGGATCTAGAGTGTCACCCCTTTGAAGAGGGGGATGACCGCGGCAGCTTTCCAATCTCTGGGGATCTCAGACGTTACGAAAGAGAGGTTGAACAGGCTAGTAATAGGGGTTGCGACAATTTTGGCGGCTAGTTTTAGAAAGAAAGGGTCCAGATTGTCTAGCCCAACTGATTTGTAGGGGTCCAGATTTTGCAGCTCTTTCAGAACATCAGCTGTCTGAATTTGTGTGAAGGAGAAGCGGGGGGGGGGGGGCATGGGCAAGTTGCAGCGGAGGGTGCAGAGTTGGTGGCCGGGGTAGTGGTAGCCAGGTGGAAAGCATGGCCAGCCGTAGCAAAATGCTTGTTGAAATTCTCGATTATTGTAAATTTATCGGTGGTGATAGTGTTTCCTACCCTCAGTGCAGTGGGCAGCTGGGAGGAAGTGCTCTTATTCTCCATGGACTTTACAGTGTCCCAAAACTTTTTGGAGTTAGTGCTACAGGATGCAAATTTCTGTTTCAAAAAGTTAGCCTTTGCTTTCCTGACTGCTTGTGTATATTGGTTCCTATGTGTGGGGCTTGTATCCTATTATAATGTGTAGAAGTCTATTATTACTGTTTTTACTAATGATCACTCCAAACTCATGATATTATCCTATGTGGCTTGAACAGACAGAGTCAAGGGTGCATTTGAAATGGGACCCATTCCTTAAATAGTGCACTACTTTTGACCTGATCATTTTGGACAATGACAAGGTCATTGTGAATTTGCTGATCACACAAATCAATCAGTAAAGCCATTTCTCTGAGAGTAGGTGGAAGTCTTCAGCTGCTAGAAACGATCCTCAGTATAGGTTTGGACTGAAAGGCCCGCCCTTCCCCGAATCTAGACGGTTTTATAGATCTCTGTTGGACTGTTTAAAAGAGCGGCTCCAAAGTCACCGTCACACCAATTGAGCCACTGATTGCTTCGTTTTAATGATTAAAACTGGAGAGAGAACATTCCTGCCACCACCTGCATGCTCTCCTGTAGCAGAAGAATGAAAAGGTGCTGCTTCCTGAAGATTGTGAGTACAAAACCTGAATACTAAAATCTATCACTGTGGTTGTTGTGTAGAATAGTTATTTATGAGATTGCAAGGGTAGTGGAAATGATGAATCCTTGGCTACATCCCGGTTTATATATCTCCATGCTCCCAAAGTGTGCACTTGTTCTCCTTCCTCCCAGAGTGTGCACTTGTTCACTTCCCTGCACTGATTTGAAATTAAATGACTGGTATACAAAATATGGTGGAAACTCCCACTAACCCATGCCTCCACCAATCCAATGCCTTTAGATTTTTGCAAAGTAGTGAACGAGTGCACACTTCAGATGAAAGGAGATCTTATTAGGACGCACCCATAGAAGGCAGCAGGGTAGGTCATTCACAAGCCATCTGATTATCAAAATCACAATCTGGAGATAATTAGCTTTTCCGTAGATATTAAATAAATCTTGGGATAAAAGGAACACATATCTTATCTGAAGAAAAAAGGGAACCGCAAAACTAATGTAAACTCAAGGAAAAACAGATTCCGCCTTAATCGTTTATCAGGATTATTTGCTGGTGTAATAAGATGTTGGTATGGTGTATGGTAGGCTATTGTGTGCTGGGAAGTTCTGTTCGAGGAAGACTTTCTAGAGAAGCTGTTAGGCTTTCCTAATCTTAGCACCCAGAACCAAATCTCACGTGCACGCTGAGCAACATTAATTGTTAAGTCTGTCGCAAGTAGGGTTGCAAAGCTACTGGTAATTACCTAAGTTACCAGAATCTTTAGTAATTTTGGTAATTAACAGAAAATCTATGGCGATCTATTGTAAATTTGGTCATTTATATTTAAAAATAATAATAAAGGATTCATATACAGTATATTAAGAATTGTGTTATATCTGTGTCTAAATTGTCGATTAGCTTCTAGTAGATAGACCATATGGTTGAACGTAACTAGCCTAATTCATGTAAAAATATCTAATCAACACTGGCATTATTTTCAGTTAATTTTGCAACTCTTCCAACTATTGACTTTTCTTCACAACTGCCACCAGTTTAACACAAAATACATGTTGACATAATAAAATAAATAAAAGTGTGTAAAAAAAATAAAGAATATGTCATGCCGACACCAATGGTATTCACTAAGTTGATGGTTTATATTTAGGATAATGTTTTACAGCTCTGTCATTTATTTTTATTTTTATCATCTTATTGAATTATTACATATATTTTACATGTGATAAGGCCACACAGAGGGTCAGAGATAATTACAGACACCTGTGACACCACTAGATGTCTTGTGATAGATGACATAAAATCCTTGAAAGATACCAAAATTCTGGTAGTTTACTGGTAAACTTGTAAAGTTTCCAGTAATATACCCTCCCTTTGCAACTCTAGTTAAAAGAGACTAGTAGGAATATGATGTAGGGAAGCTTTGTGTTTGAAGAATACTTTCTAGAAAGACTGAGAGGCCTTTCCATGCAGACTATAGCTCTGTGTTAGCTTTGTATTTGAGGAAGGA